TGACTGAAAATTTTCATTTTTTCTGAAAAGGTGGTGTCTATTTACTTGTGACCATGCTGTGTACATTAGCTAACTTGCAATCCTCTGGTTCCTGCCCACTAATCAAGGACTGACAAAAAATAGTAGCAAGTGGCTCACATATCCAATCTTTAACTTCCTTCAAAACCCTTGGGGAAATATTATCTGGCCCAGGAGCCTTATCATCTTTAAACCGGCTCAGAATTAATGTAGTCATCTTGTTTCCATTTATCAACTGATCAAGATGTGGAATACTGCTTAAATCTTCATAAGTAAAAACTGAAGAAAAATTTAATAACTCAGTCATCTCATAATCATCAGATACTAGCCTTTCTTTATCATCCCTCAAGGTTCCTATCCCTATCCTAACATTTTATTTCCCCTTAATGTATTTAAAGAAATCCTTACTGTTAATTTTTACATTTTCAGTCAACTCATTCTCATACATCTTTTTTGATATCCTAATTTCCTGTTTCACCAACTTGCTTGATCTTCTATAATCTTCTAAGTACCAGTCAATTTCAATTTCTTAAATTTATGATGCTTTTCTTTAATTTTATTTCTTAAACTCTTTGTGAGCCAACCTGGTTTTTTACTTTTCTTTCTATTAGGAATATGTTTACATTGAACATTTAAAAATTTATCTTTAGAAATTTTCCACATCTGATCAGTGTCTCCAAGTAACTCAGTTGCCCAATTCACAACAGATAACTCTTGTCGCATCCTTCAAAATTTGCTTTTTTGAAATTTGTAACTAAAATATCATTATTCCTTATCTCCATATGCAGAAAAACATTGAACCTAATAGAGCAATGATCAATTGCACCCAGATGTTCCCCAGTTTCCACCCTCTCAATCATTTCTGTATTTGAAGTTAACAATAAGTCTAAAATAGCATTGTTTCTAGTTGGTTCCTTGACTAACTGGTGAAGAAAGCTATCCTGAACAGTTTCCAAAAACTTTTCTCCCTCCTGATTTGATTCCAGAATTTCCCAATCTATATGCCTGAAATTAAAATCACCCATAATTATGACTTCATTAACAACTGAAATTTTAATCTTATTATAAAGTTTCTCACTAATTTCATCAGTATCATTTGGTGGTTTGTAACAAATTCCCACTAAAAGCCTTTTCCCTTTATATCCACTAATAGAAACCCAAATGGATTCAATCCCTTTGCTATTATCTTTGATATCCTCAACTTCAACAGGATGTAACTCACATTTTACATATAAACCCACTCGTCCTCCTTTCTTTAATACTATATCCCTATTAAATAGCCTGTAACCCTGTATTTAAAAAAAATTTCTGTCATCAAAATCATCTATGTTTAACCATGTTTCAGTTATTCCCATTCTATCAAAATCCTCCATTCCTACCAGTGCTCTAAAGTCATATATTTTATTTCTTATACTTCTAGCATTACAATAGTAACAATTAAGCCTATCCTTATAACTACTTCTATACTCATTTCCTGTGCTAAACTTTTTTCTGCTTCTTATTCGTTTTGCATTCAGTTTTTCCTGGCCCTCACCACTGTCTAGTCCTAGTTTAAAACTTCTCTTACAGCTGAGTTAACAACCTTAGCAAAAAAAGCCAGCCCCAACTCTATTTAAATGTTAGCCATCCATTGCAAAAAGCTCCCTTCTCCCACTAAACTGATCCCACAAGTCCAACCAGCCAATCTGCTCATCCTTACATACTAACCTAAGCCTAGCATTTAGCCCTAATGAACTACTTATAACTTCATCCCCACAGTTAATTCGGGGCAGTATCCCTGACAAAATTAAGTAATGTTGATTCAGATAATGTACCCTAATATATGTAATTATCTTATGAGGCACGAAGTAATGGGAGAAATAAGATTCCTAACCTTTGATCCTAGTTATGTAACCTAACGTTGTGACATTATCTGAATCAATAATTAATAGACTTTGGACTAACTGATAAGAAACTCTTGAATAATTGATAACCACCATCACATCTGATAAGAACTTCATGAGTTTTTTAATTCCTCCTCCTCTGGGCTTAAGCCATACAGCCCATGTGAAGGTTGAGGCATAATGTCTGGATCCTAATAGAGCCCCTTAAGCTGTTCTGTTTTTCTTTTTCAAATACACATTAGTGAGGCTGCTTTAGTGAACTAATTTACAGTAGGATGTAGAAAGCTAGTCCCAAACCATTAAATGAAAGTCTAAAAACGTGGAATGTAATGAGAGTGATGACTACAACTAAAATTTTAAAATTACATTCTGCAAACAGCAAAATTAAAGTGTCACATAATAAAAACTATGTCTGCATGATAAAAGTTAAACTACAAAATAATGCTTAGAAGAATTATTCCTTCATAACATCAAAACAGCAGTGTAATGTACAAAAAATTATATCTTGGTAATATTAAAAACTGCATTTTAATGTATGAAAAAAATGATGTCTTGATAACATATTAAAAAAAACAGTGATGTATGAAAAAGTACATTCCTCAATAACAGTAAAACGACAGCCTAATACATGGAAGACTATTCCCTAAACTACAGTAAAATGTGTAAAAAATTATATTTCAAAACCATCAAAGTAGAACACTGAATTAATACTATTATCTAATGCCTGGAACACTAACTTACTGAAGCACAACACTATAATCAAACATAGGGAAGAATGTATTCTTAAAACAAAACAATAATATATAGAACACAGAAGACAATAATTTGAAATTTCAAATACCATATTATGAAAATAAAAACAATTCCAACCAGATAGCTTACCTTAAACTTATGAGGAACCTCAAGTTTGGGAGTTTCTATACCAACACAAAAGTCAGTAATTGTCATAATCAAAATGGCAATAACAACAGCAAAATCACTGATGACAGCTCTGATCTGAAAATTTTCAGGAAAATCACTGATGCGTGTACTATAACTGGATGAATATAATATATGTATATATATATATTTGTCTTCATGTTAAAATTTAGTAAAAAATGTAAATCAATTATTTTATTTTCAACAGTAAAGTTTGCTCTTATTCATACAAAATAAACTTAACTTATAAAAGGAAAGGAATTCTTGAATGTTCACAATAGTAACTTAAATACTGAAGTAGCATTAATTTCCATAAAAATATATATCTTATTGTATAGGTTGTAAATAAAAAAACATGTTTGCAGCAAAGAAAACAGCTACAGTTTTCATATGGTTAAGTGGTATCATCTGAGAATGTTACCAAAACAATCTTACAACAGCATAGTTAATTAAGACCAAAATACATATTTCTATTGAAAGATAGGAATAAAATTAAAATATTATGGTATTAATATCTTGCTATTATAACACAGAAATAGCTATTTTATGAAAGCTTGTACCAGTTTGACCATGAGTCTATATTCACTCCTTGGGGCAAGGCAAGCCCATCTGAAAGGGTGAAACAGACACTTGTACAAGTTGGAGGTTCTCTCCCTTGTATATGTTATTTAGAACAGTCATTAATTTAGATAAGGACCCATTTGTCTGACTTGAAAGTGCAATATTTCATTATTCTTCCTCGTACTTTTGTCTTGGGAAATTTTCTCTTCAGCACCATTAGATAGTTGTATTCATTCAATAAAAGTCAGAAAATGGCCATTGTTTCATAAATAAAGCAACAATTTTCCATGATAACATGCAAAGCAAATTAGAACCACAATAATATTTTCACATGGTAACACATACAAGAAATGTGATTATACCAGGAAGATTATCTTACATTGAAAACAAACACACACATATTTTTAGAACTCTTGGTAGCAAACTCTTACTTTGATCCCACAAAAAGAAAATTAGAAAACTTGTCAACAATAGCTTATCCTGGTTATAAATGATAAAATTACAAGAAACATGCTACAATATCTTACGTTTGAGGGGAAGAAAGAAGTAAATTTAAAATCTTTCAGGATAATTGATAAGGTGAAAGTTCCCAAAAACAAGATCATGGAGAATAAAAACACATCAGGAACGTATTTATGTGGTGTGCAGCCATCTCCCTCCAAAGTACCATTATAGTAGTCACACTCATCAGTTGACAATCTTGACCAGTTTACAAGAGGTTGAACAATAATACTGGAGTTCTCATTAGGAGCACAGTAACAGCTCTGATTCACAAGGCTCGTTGTATGAATTTGAAGTGGATAGTCGTGATTGATATGCCACACCTATAGAGAGGTAAAGATAAAACACAATTTTTAGGTTTACTAACTAATGCTTACTCACTTACATTATAATATTTATATTAGAAACATGATGGTAACTAACACAGAATAACAATGGTTTCTACCACCAACCATACAAACTAATGTTAGACTGTGAAATAATTAAGATAAAAACAAATTATAGATGCTAATCTATGATAAACTAACTTATAAAATATTTTTTTCAAATATGAAAAAATCTCTATCAAAATTCAGAACAATATTTAAAGCATTTTATTTGTACTTTCAGCTTTCAAAGTTACCTATAAACTGGTGTTTTACAATAAAACTCTAACTGTTGGTAAACGTACTTTTTCTATAGCTTTGTAAATAAAAATCATAGAAATCAGTGTGGCAAAATTTTCCTCGGTAAATCGAGTAATGTAGCACACCAGAGCACTAGCATCCAAAGATACTAGCAATATTAATATAGCCGATGTCCAGAGTCCAATCCAGAGACGAAGAGGCAAGTACTCGAAACCATTATCCCTTTGGAGAAAAAAATAGAAGGTAATGTTTTGTGTGTGGTATTATAATAACATTTACTAATATTGAAACAAACATTATTAATAGTACCTATTCATTGATAACAGGTGAAAGAAAGACTATTACAAATTTTTACCAATCTTTTACTTCGACATTGCTTTTTTATTTTGAACAGAAATTATTGAAGAAATCACCTGCACTGCTTATGAAAACTAAATAGTAGCAATATTGGTCTTCTGGTTTAAATATTACATTATTATTGGGTATCAGGCAAACAATTTGAAAATACTATTCATATTAAATTGGTTATTTCTAATACACAAATTTATATCCAACATTTTAGCAAAAAATCACGAAAGGGATTCCCTCAGACACAAAATTATCACAACGTTTTTTATGTGTGACTCATTAAAGAAGATGACCTTTCATACAAAGCCTATCAAATATTTTATCTTTAGGACACTAAAGAGATTGTTTCTCATAAAGAAATTTATCAAACTATCTTATAGGTGGGTTACTAAAGAGATTCTCTCATACACAAATTAGCTTATCAAACGTTTTTTCATGTAGACCACATACATAAGTACTATTTAGCAAACAGTAATTACTTTGTACTGACTACCAAAGTTCCCTCCAATTTTTCAATCCAAGTGCAGAATGAATTTTTTCATGTGCACCAGTATCAAGGCAATTTGCAGATGTGCTCTACCAGTTTTTTTTAGGGGGAGGGGGTATTTTTAGGCCATCAACCCTATTGAATCATTAGGCCACTTTGCAATGCTACCAGTTGGTAATTTGAGATTTAGGTCTATCGACTGCCAGGGTCATTATGGCTGTCAACATGTTGAGACTCCTCACCATTACTGAGGATGTGCATGGCATTCGATTGGTTGTTGTGCAGCTGTGCAGTTTAGAGGGAACACTTCTGACTACCACTCTAAACTACCACAATGAAACTACAGAATCAGTACTTTTTTCATTTAGATAAATATCATTTTTATTTATTTATTTAATCTTGATAAGAATGTAAATTGAACCTAACAATCTGAATGTATCCACATTATTTTCATCTGAGATAAAAGACTCATACGTACATAAAAGTAGTTAATTCGTACCTACAAAACGAATATATAATTGTTTCAAACAACCAACACTGGTCCTGTACTTCCAAGAATATTTAATGGTTGCCCACTGAAGAATCCATACAAGATTCCATTGATAGCCCCAGAGAGCAAACTCTCAATGGCAGCCTGAAAAAAAAAAAAAAAAACTGATTTTTGTGATTTGTTTGTGTTTATACTTAATCAAATTGTTTGTGATGTAAAAAACTGCAAAAATAAAGACTACAAATTCACAATACTTATATCTATCTAACAATTGTTTTTATGTTCATCTAGTAGGCAATTTCAAACTATAACAAACTGAAATAAAATGTAGAATTTATAATAAAGAAAAGATACCACCAAAAATTTTTGAATCAAGGATTACAAGATGTTGATCTATTCATTGTCTAACTAAACTTATAGTTTTAACTGTATTAATCTAAATACACGAGTAATGAAAACAAAAAGTTAAATCAAAATGGTAAGAAACAGTTAAACACATTCACTAATAAATAATTTAGATTAATGTTACACAATTAAAGCTTACTTTCAAATAGTAAACTATAGGGTAACTAACTCAATTAGAAAATACTACATTTATATAAAGAGATATAAGTGCAAACTAAACTACTTTACAAATAAGCTATCCCACAAGTTTAATCAGCTTCTTCCCATAACAAAACTATCACTACTTTTAGTGCATCATAACTTTCTCAAAGTTTAAGCATTCCACAAAACAGCTGAATTATCCTACAGCTTCACCTGTTCACATCAAGTCTGAAATATCCTATCACTAGAACATGCAATTCCATGAATTAAGTGAATAATTTTATCTTCAGTACTTGAACTATTCAACATGCAACATCAGTGAATTATTTTATGGCTTGAGCTATTTTACAACACCACTAAGTTATTCCACAGTTTGAACTACTCACAAATGAAATGAATTATTCCACAATTTTAATTATTTCACAATATTATTGAATTATCTCACTAACTGTGTTATAAAATAGTGTATTATCCAGAACTTAAATTAATTCAAAACATACACTATTCCATGGCTACTTGTAATATTTCATAATATAACTGAATCATCTCACTCATAGAACTATTTCACAATATAACTCAATTATACCAAAACTTTAAATATATCACAAAACAATTAAACTATCCTATAGTTTGCATGTCTCACCAGTTGAGAGCCTGTTGCATCTGCTAACAAACCTCCAAATGTAATTATTGGAGCAAGACAAGCAAAGTATAAGAAGAACACTGAAGCTACAGTCTGAAGAGCCAGAGCTTCTTTGAAATCACTGATGTACCAGGATTTTTTCCGTCTAATGTCATTCATCAACCCACCAAAAATCCTACAATATAAAAGAAAGTTAAAAGCATTATTTAAAAGAAGATAAAACTGTGAAACAAAAATAAGTATAAAGAATTTTTGTCATAACACACACACACAGATACAAATATACACACATACACACAAAAGTTGAGTATTTATATTAAAACTATTTTGGAGCCTCACCACATCATTACAATCTATGTTGCCATGTCCAGTCATGCTCTATCTGGCAACTGTGCATCCTGACAATAGCCCTGCAGAGTACTTTCCACTGCAAAAGGCTACACATAAGGCTGTCATGTCCAAAGTACATCCTCGTCCTAGCTTGCTTTCCATAAACTATCTAATGTATTAGAACGATAATTTCTCAGAGCCCATTTGCACATAACTCCATAAGTGCTGCATCTGGTGACTTGATTGGTGTGTTTTCATATGGAATAAAATAAATACCAATTTCATTCTCCAGTTGCTTGAAGTATGCAATAGTTGAATTGGAAGTATCACATGAAGCCTTATCTTGGTGAACCCATACCCTGTTGGCCTCATTTCCAGATGGATATCTTTCTGGGTTATGTTGCATACTGTTGCCTTGGCATGTGGATGCCTTTTTCCACTGAACATTTTATTCATAGACATTCGCTTGTTACAAGACATCACACTTTGCTTACCATTGCTAGTATATGATTTGTTGTGAATCTCTTTCTCATTAAGTACAAGGGATATCTCCATTTTAAAAATTCCCAAATCTGAACACATCTTTATATGATTTGAGTTGTATGAATTTTTCTCATCAGGAAGAGCTGTTTCATACCCTTTGTCAATGTATCTCTGATATACTGTGACACTATATCAGCTGTGGTTTTTCTCATGACTTGCTGAACTGCATATTCGGAATTGTTTTAATATAACTTACTCAACATTCTGTTTAATATTAAATAATTATAAAGAAAACCTTATATTTAAAGAGGCATTGTTAGGCACTGGCACACAGGTTCTGTGTCCCAATTCTATTGGACAGTCCCCCGAATCCCCAGTTGGTGTCTTAAAAAAATCAGAATAGAAAACCATAATCAATATCATACCAAACCGCCAAAAGCCTGTGGGCCAAGCCCCAAATCTTTTAAGTACTTAGCAATGCCTCTGATTATACCATAAAAAACTATCTGTCTTAGGAGAACAAAATCTTACCAGAGGCACTTTGAGAATCATAAATTTTATTCAGGAAAGTAAGGACATTTTACATGGTGTTTCAAATCCATATTATAGTGTTTATCTAAATCACTTTTCTCCAAAAGTAGAATATCTTTTATTTTCTCTCTCTCTCTCTTTCAATAACACTCTGCCAATGCATGTAAAGGATATTACAAGGATCAATGAGCACTGTCTAGAATAGATGATACTTGCATTAGTTTCATCTAGGGATATGCTTCATATGCTGATTAATAATGAAGGATATTGAACACCTTCTGAGACAATTTCTGTACCATTTCAAAGCATTCTCAAATAAAACCTATGATCCTCAATGTGAAATTTTGTTACTTTAGGATAAGTAGTTTTTCAGTTCTGATAAAGTCATATTAAATATGGGTTTTTCTCATAGTCATCTCCCTATAGTTATAGAATCTTATTGATACTTCTTCAACAAGAATACTTTACTCCTGCTGGATTTGTTTTTAATCAGGTCTAACTTAATTAGCATTTGTAGATTCTCCCTCAATGCTTATATGGTATCATAATAGTTTTTCATTACTGCTAGTATTTGTCATATGAGAAAAAAGTTAACATAAATAGATTCTAATTCAAAAATAAAGATTATCTATAAATACTCTCATAGCAAGAATTCTTGATTTCTCTTGATTTTTTTTATATGAAATTCCAACTTATATTTATTTGGTTTTTCTTTTTCAAAAAACCTGTTTAAGGTTAAGACAAGTTGCCAAGATTTTTAGCTCACATTATTACAGGTTACTTAACATAAAGGAGATTAAATCATGTTTGGATTCAATTTTCACCTCTTTAGCATTTCAACTTTACATATATATACTGTACATAAGAAACTGATAGATCTTGCCTTCCTGTTCTCTTTAATCCACTTTCTTCTCGCAGTTTTTCTTCTTCTTCTTCTGGCTCAATATGTGGCTGTTTATCTGGTTCTTTATGCTTCTTCCTCCCTTCCTAAATATGAAAAAAAGCATTAGAATATTTACTTTCATGCAAAAGCAGGTACTTCCATAATTCAAGGTACAAAACATTTTGCATTAATTCAGATCTTAAAAGAAACATCACTACTGCAGCTCTGAATTTCTATTTCATCTCTTATTTTCAACTAATGTACTTCAGACAATTTGTACCAAAACAAAATGTACTGTTTTAAAATTCTTTATGAGCTTATATAAAGTATGAGATCTTGTTTGTGAAGAATCATGAAATATTACCCAAGCACCAAATAATTCTGTCTCTTAAAATATATCTAGAGCATGTGCATCATGGAACAAAATTAATTAAAAGATTTATTAATATTGATCTAAGTGAAGTTTTATTTAGCTTAAGTTACTCTAAGCTAACCTGGGATGGAACATGGGATGGTGGTTCTATCCGAATACTTGGATCCCAAGCACCAGGAGGCAATACTGTAACAGCATCTAGAAACTCATCTACCCCAGCTAAAAGATCTTGTCGGTTCCTTGCTTTGTATGCAACATCATGAAAAACCTGAGAAAATAAATGGAAACAACTTTCAGTGAGAAGATTTCAAATTGTAGAATCACTCATCTATTTCATGGTTTTCTCAAATATTATACAAGCTATAAGTTTGGACATATCCTAGTTTTCAAATTACATCTAAGAATGAGAGGAATAAGAAACTATTCTTGAACACATCACAAGCAACAAAAATGAGAAAATTACATCACCAAAAATGAAAGTTAAAAAAAAAACTTATCATAAATAGATCAATATAGTAAGACTATAGCTTCTATCTCAGAATCTGCAGTGCTGCTATAAATATATAGATATATTGTAGGTGGTGGAGGGTTATTTCATACCAATGTAAACTCTAAAAATGCAAATTTCATTGTAATAAAATTCTGACTTTGACTTTTTCAATAAATAAATTCATAATGTTTCTATTTAGAAACAAATAGAAGAAGAAAAAAGAAATATAGAAGAAGAATGAGTCAATTAGTAAAGTTTCTGTCATTTGCATAATGCTTAACTTTTTATGAAAGAACATGAAATACTGAGGGATAAATAAACATTAAATTATATGTTGTATCTATGGTGGTTACTTTTAAGAAATGTAAGAAACATTATAGGAAAAAATTACTCAATTGTAAAAAAAATTATTTTATGAAGTACGAGCTATAAAACTGTGTGAAATATATTCTAGTACTTGCTTTTGTAACTTAAGCATGAAGTTCAAAATAAAATGAAGTTTTCAAACTTAATTTGATCCTTCAAAAGAACAATAAATTTCAATAACCAGTGTGTTACAAATTAAGATAATTTCTGCTCCTTAAGGAGAAATACCTCATCTGATAAAAGTGTTGCCATGGCACGACCAATCTCATGGTAACGAGGAAGGTTACCACTAGGACCAAGTAAGATGAAGAGGAACCGAGTAGGGACAGGAACCTCTGTCAGATCACCTAAGTGAATACCCTGCTTCAGCCGAACAAAAGCCATAATAGCCCTGTCTAGAAATTCAAGATCTCCAACTAGGATGTTGGAGGCTTCTGAACCTGGTGGGATCTTCTTCATGAAGGCTTGATTTAGCTGAAAAAATTAAATATTTTTTTAAAATAAAGTACTTCTCACATTTACAATGTATACTGCTTTGCATTATAATTTTCTTTTTAACGATATTCTAGAAATATTATCAGCAATAATGAGCACATTCTTGTCACAATATATCATTCAAATTTTTCTTCTTAACTTGTGTTCAAATCTGCAAACTCATTCCAGTGTGTTATCAGCAAAGAAGTTCACAGAGCTAATTCCAATGTTACAAGCAAAAGAATTGTTTGTTTGTTGTTAAGCACAAAGCTACACAATGAGCTAGCTATCTGTGTTATGCCCGCCACAAGTATCAAAACCCAGTTTTTAATGGTGTGTCCCTGCAGATTTACTGCTGAGCCACTGGGGGGCAAACAAAAGTGTTCACCTCGTTTATCTTTTATTAAAAAACTTCTAAGATTATTTTTTGTCTTACCATAAAATAAAAAAATGAATTTATTTCCCATGTGTTTTAAGACTGCAAGGTGGATTCACTGTTATTAGTGAAGGAAATTCAAACTATTCAGTTTGTATTACACACTTACATATATTATCCTGTTAAAAATGTACAGTATTATCTGTTTACCTTGTGTTGTAGGTCTGCAGAACTTGCTCCAGTGTTTTCTGTGAGAGTAGAGCCAGTGGTTGTAAGACAAGGTTGTGTATTATGTCCATGCAAAGATGTAGAACTGGGGCTTTGGGGCATTCCTGACTCATGGTGATTCTGTCCACTATCTGTATATATGTATATAAAATAAGATATCTATTATAACGATACTCAATTTTTTTCTGTCCTGAGAATGTTTATAGACCTTGCTATCTAAACGCGTGTGCACCTCATTTCAATGGATGTAAATAAAAGGTGGAAGTAAATATACTTTAGTAAACATTTTGTACAATAACATATTCAAAGCTTATAAAATTTTTAAAAAGGTCTAATGTTAAGTCATAGAATAAAATTATTCGTTTATCTATTGATAGTTTTAAATATGGTTAAGTATAGCCCTAACTAAACTAAAGCAAAAAACGTACACAAGTTACAGTGTTAAATTATCTCTTTAACAAATATAGACCATAATTAATAAAGGCTTAACTTTAAGTGGATTTACAGATTTTGGTGTCTCCAATTAGAAATCTTTTATATTATTCTAGAAATCCTGTATTTAAAGAAGTATTGTTGCAATAAAGATACTAGTTTGACTGCAAATGTTTAACAGGTTTCTGTTAGTACAAAATAAAAAAAATAAATATTTCCAAGTAAATTTTCTTTTAATCTTTGAAAATTAAGTATATTTTAAAGAATTATTACTCATACTACATGCAAATGTTTTAATATATATATA